GTAATAATAGACGCGGGGACATTCCTGGATTCACCAGTTGTAAGCTTTTGGAAAACATGCTCGCTCGCTGGTGGGAAGGCTCGGAGAAGTGACGAAGGCCAATTAAGAAATTGTTCCCAATTTTATTCTGGACAGAACATGCCTTTTATGTCGTCCAACCTGAAAGTGGCACTAAGCTAAATGTTCTCTGAAACGTGCCGCCCTCTTTGGAAACAAAGATGCTCTGCAGCCTTTCTCCTGTCATCGGATGGCTCGTCATACACTCTGATGCTGGGGCCCTGGAGGGAGGGCGGTAGGCTTCTGTGTGTACGACTGATGTCCAAACGAGCGATTCTCTTGTTCCTTCTTTCTCCTTCTGGAGAGCACGGCTGCCAGCCCTGACCCAGACCCTGCAGGGCTGACATGAGGGCCTGGCCATCTCCATCTGCCCAGATTAAGGTTTGCCTTTGAGGACTAATTTATTTCGTGTTTGGGGCTTTGGGGTCCCTGGTGATGACTTGTCTCTATGACTGAAGCCTCAAACACTCCTCTTTTTCTTTTTTTTTTTTCCTGTCCATAAGAAAATAAAATCACCTCTAAGTAAAATAATTCCGTAAATAATCAGAAGAAATAATCACCGTATGAGAAGTTCCCTGGGGACCAAAAGGTTAAAAATAGATATGGCAAATGCAGAAGTGGTGTTGGTACAAAGGGTGAATGCAACAGTTTGTCCCTTTGGTGGAGACAGAGAGAGAGAGGCAGACACTGAGAAGCCATTCCACACTTGCTTTTGTCCACAAAACCAGACCTGGCAGCCACATGCTGCAGGGTTGGCTGCCAAATGCACAGCCTTTGGGTTCGCAGAAGCGGAGCCCCAACGCCGAGCCGCTCCAGCCACAGGCGGCAGGGAAGGCCGGGAAGGGCTGCTGTGCCTTCCAGTGATGGCCTGAGCCCGCGTGGGGCAGGAGACGGGCCGGGCCCTGGCCAGCGTGTGCAGCCGGCTTCACAGTGGGGCTGGGCTCCCGGGCCCTCGGCCAGGCTGCGACCATGATGCGCTGGGACCCCAGGTGGGGTACGGGCACAAGGGGGCACTCTGTCCGCTGGACCCTTTGGCCAGCTCCCCAGCAGACGGGGGTTTCCTGGTATCTTCGGGAAAGAAGCCCCCCTCGGAAGACTCCGTCCGGTTCACCTTTTCTAGCTCAACACTTTCAACTCTGGGAGCCAAAGGCTTGGAATGCTTGTTTGCAAATGTCAGGTGCACTTGCAGCCCCAACCGAGGACCAGGTGCCCCCCCCCGAAAAGAGCGGTGGGTTACATACAGGTATACACAATTTTTGGGGGGGGGGCGGGAAACAAACTGAACAGTGTTTGGTCTGGAATGTGTTTAAGGAAAAGGCAAACTCTTTTGCCGAGTGTGGGGAGACAGGACGTGGAAGGAGTACTGTTTGAGAAGAACATGCAAAGGTTTCGTGCATTGGTTGAAACAGAGGCCCTTCATCTCTTTGGCCAGAAGTGAGTGTGTGACCTTGGGAAAGAGTACATCTTATTTCTTTTTATGAGATGGGAGGAGGAGCTGCCGTTTGCTGGCCCTGGCTTTCCCTTCGTGTATCTGAGGGAAACCTCATGAGTCACATGGGGTAGGGAGTGTTGCAGCAACCCGAGTGCCCCCCGGCCTTCAGCCCTGGAGCCATGGTTCTTGCTGGGCCACAGAGCCTTCAAATACCGAGTTCTCTCCCCTGGATATGGTCTCTTCCGTCTAAAATTGCTCATAAAATGTCACATCCCATGGGTTAATCAGATGAAGCTGTCCCTCCTCGAGAGAGAGAGAGAGGGTCAACCCCCTTTCAGGAGGGGTCCCTGGGGTTCCCTCCCCTTTGTCCCTGGTGTTCCTGACCTTCACTCTAAAGGGGAGTTCCTGTCTCCCACCCGCAACCTGTCCCCAAGATATGCTGGACACCAAGGCAGACAAATGACAAGATGAGGTCAGTGCTGGGCAGGTAAACTGAGTCTGAGGGTCCTATGCCCAATCCCTGTCATCGATGGCCCTGGCTTCCTAAGCGCCAGAGCCTTGCTTGTTTAGCCAAAGCCATCTCGTGTTGCCCCATGCTGGCCTGCTGAGCTCCTTGAACATCATGCTAACCGCTGGCTGGAGAGCGGGAACCTCTCCAAGGCCACAAGCTCCCATGCAGGGAGGGGGCGCTACTCCTACTCTTGAGGTGGGGGTGCAGAAGTGACCAGAATTGTTGCCACAGTCAAGAACACTAAGCCCTGCCCTTTTTTTTTGGCATGCTTTCTGCATAGTCCTTTACAAAGGAGACACAAAGGGGAGATTATCCTTGCTGCTCTCTTATGGGGCTGGAGGCAGCAGGAGACGGGGAGCCCTGCCCCCGGCAACAGAGCTGTGGTCCATCTATCTGGGCATCTCCATTTCTCAAGGGTTTTCCATGGTCCTGTGTACTTCCCATTGGGGCTCCCTGCCCCTCTTGGCTCCAGCGGCCTTTACCCCATCCCAACCCAATACCCCAGGCCCTGGTGTGCTCGTGATGGAGAGCCATGAGCAGTCCGGACTCCGGGGTACCCTGGTTAAGAGTGATCAGCCGCTGGTCTGGGGGGCCCCACATGTGGGCGCACGCTTGCTGCTTGTCTCAGACCAGCGCTAGCTTTGCCTACTGCCTCATGGAGGAGGTGAAAAGCGGGACACGAGGGAAGGACAGACGGCAGCTGAGGGAGAGACCATTCACGGACATGATTTCAACATGTCCTATTCAAGTAGGAAAAACTGTCCACTTGCTCTGAGAAGCTTAGGAGACCAATGGGGAGCTTGGGGTTGAAAGGAAGCCCATGATGGGACCAGTGGCTGTCCCTGAGCCTCGGCCACACACTGGCTTCCACAGGGAGTGGAAGCCTAGGGCACGTAGGAGATGCGCAGCTCCTACGGGTGGGATCTGACATCGGCGAGGGGCCTGGGACTCAAATGCCCCACTCGGCAGGTCTTAACAAAAGGCACATTCTGGGTTCTCTTGTCGTGTGATATGATAATAAAGCATAAACAATACCAAATGCGGTTGAAAGAGAACCTCTCTCCTTCTGCCACAGAGGCTCTCTCAAAGAGCAAAAGTTCTTCCATATGGTATTTCTTTTTCTCCTCTTCCTAAAACAACAGGAAATGACCGAAGTCTGGTGGCGTTGAAACAGTCTTGACTTGCCTGATGTCAAGTTCAACGGAGTTTACCTTTTGGGCTGAAAGCAGTCACCGTCTCCTCACACAATGTTTTGGAGACCTGAAGCGTTACAGGCCAAGCATGGCCAGGGGCTGGCCCAAACCACAGAAGGGACGCTTGGGACAGGCCGCAACTTTCACCTCCTCTGCAAGTGTCAGGTAAGACATACCTTCAAACTAATAGAATAGAACATACATCCCATATATCAGCTCGAGGAAATAATTTAATCACCCATCAGTGAATGTGGCTCTCCCAATGCAAAGGACTGCATCGAGCACACAGGCCAAAGGACTGATCACGACTCCGGCACACATTACAGGGACCCCATCCGGGCAAATGATCACCCCCTGCAACATCTAATTACTTGTTTTCTGATACTATGGCAACACGAATGCTCCATTACGCCTGTTAGTAAGCAACACCCTAATAAAGCTCCTGGAGAGACACCTCAGTTTTCTCAGATACTCTTTCAAGTCTTCAGGCCATTTTTTTCTACCAGTAAGGCAGACCTACAGATCTACAGGGACATGTGGTGGACTTGAGGCTCGCGGTGCAAAATGCAGACTCATGGTCTTGCATGGGCAGGAGGGCCAAGGGATGCATGCCTCTGCAAGAGAGGGTCCTGGAAGCCCCCTTGAGAAGGGTTTGCCCCCGGGTTCACGCAGCGCTCTATCCTGCACACCTATGCACCACACGGACCGATAACACGGCCAGTTTGCCTGGGACATCGCCAGATTTAGCAATGAAAGTCCTCCAACCCAAGAAATTTTTCACTCCCAGGCAACCTGGGCCCTTTGGTGACTCCACCATCACAGGTCTTTGGTTTTTCAGATTGCCCTGGTCAGAGGGAGGCCTTCCAGCCCCAGCCGGGCCTGGTGGAGGCCGTCTCTGGCCATCCCTGTGGTGGTCAGTGTCCCGCTTGCTCGGCAGGCCACCTCTCCTTACCACACCCCAGATAGATGGACTCTTTTCCAAGGCCACTTCCCTCTCCTTGCCTGGATAACATTCAGAGAAGGACCAGGTAAAAATCTGCAGAAACGACTTATGTGAGTCAGAGGCCATTTTAAGTGTAAGATTAGAAATGCATTTTTTAAAAAACAGAGAGATTAACTTGAAAACTGCATAGCTGAGAGGGGAGCTTTCTGCGTTACCCTCAGGAGACATGGGGGCTGGGCGGGGAGTTCCCTTTGGACAAAATGGCATCTGGTTCCTTGTGGAAGGGGGGCTCTTATGTCTTTGCTGGGCATCCCCTTTACAGCACGTGGAGCCTCTGAAGTTTAGCCTTAGTCTCGGGGAAGGAGCAGGTTTCTGTATTTCTGACCACTGACAGAGAAGGTCCCTAGGGTCCCCAGTTGGCCAGGGATGGGCTGGAGGGGGTGCTGGAAAAGGTTTTCTGTAGATTCCCTCCCAAGGTGGCCCTGGAGACAAGACAGACCTGAGGAACTGCAGAGTCGTTTTCTTAGAGAGCTGCCCCTCCAGGGAAGGGGAGAGAAAGAGGAGAAGTAAAGTGCACTCTTCGCCTTGGAGACAGATGCTTGATCCTCTTATTAGAATTTTAAAAAATACGTTTACATTCCCCTAGGTGGGGAAAAAAAAAATCTCTTAAAGGTTAACATAAAACTCTACTACTGACAAGCAAAAGATACAGGTCATGGGACTCAGGAGTATAGATCAGAAAGCATATTTCGTAAAAGGTAAAAAATAAAACCCTAATGCACAATATTTACCGATACTTAAATAATCCAGTTGAAACCTTTTTTTTCATTAATGAAAAAAATACAACATAGACGGTTACCCATACCGAGAAGAGCGGAAATGACAGGGCTTGGGGGAGAGGACGCGGGAGGTCCGTTCCGTCAGAGCTTCTGCAAGATTCATATGTACAGCACCAGATCCTATTACGTCAGCTCCCTTGAGTCAGTATAGTTTGTGAGAAATGAACACTTCAGAATTGCAGTATAAAATATGGCCATAAAAAACTTCTGTCTTCCAGTCCTGTGCAGGAAGGTGCACCATGCAAGGTGGGATCGCTCCAGAGTGGCTGGTGGCGCTGGGGGCCCCCTTCCCTGGCCCCGCCCCTGGGCCCCGCCTCCAGAGCCAGTCACTTGCTTCCAGAGTGCACTGTGGTCACAGTGGTGGGCCTCGGTCTCCGCTCTGCCCCCACTCCAGAGACCCCCGATGAGGAAGAAACGAGACTACAGAGCGTGGAGGGTGCCCGACCTGCAGGGGGACAGTGGACACAGGAGGTCAAAGCTCCAGAAGAAAATACTCGCTCCCCTTTCCCACGGCAGGGTTTGGGGGTGAGGGGCAAACTTTTATACACTTGATTCTAAATTTTTACCTACCTGTAGGAAAGCATTTGCAAAGGGTCCTTAAAATGCTTTTTTCTTAGGCCCAACTCTTCCCTCCCATTCTCATTATCATGATCATAAGGGCTTTGTAGTTGACAACGACAGCGTTTAGCATCCTCATAGGATCGGTGCTGCTTACTGAGCACTTACTATGTACTAGGCTTCAGGCTAGGTGTTGAAGACACACTGTCATTATAAGAGCTGTTGTCACCACAGCTCCATGAGTAGAGATTTGAAGAATAAAGAAAGAATACGATCCCCCTTCTGCCCCCTTGTTTGGTGTGTGGTCTCTACTCCTGCTAAGAGGTGTCTGTGACACAGAGAGATCGCCATGGGAAATCACCTCTTTCTCCTATTCCAGCAGCCCTGGCCTAGAAAAATGCCTCACAGATTGCACCACCATGCTCCCCAAGCGCATGTGTTGGCGTCAGACAATCCTGATGTGGGATGAATCCCCTGAAGCTCAGCTCCAGTAGTGCATTTGCCTGTGAACTCTGTGGGCTCCGACAGAGGGAGATCCATTATATGTGGGTCTACCACGGTGTGCGATTGGGTCAGGGGATGCTCATGGATATTTCTGGGGAAAATATAAGGGCTCACCTTCCCCCATGAGTTGGGAAGACTATGGAGAGGGGGAGGGAACCCTTTTCTGAGGGTAATGGGGTGAAACGTGATGCCCAGAGCGAGACCAAATGGAAGGGCCTCATGATCAAGGAGATAAGGGCCAATGGGCACCATCAAGGCAACTGCTCTGAAATGGACAGGAGCCCCTGGGATGGCCTAATATAGAATTAAGATAAGTACATCAGAGGGTGGTGGGGAATGTGAGAGAGAAATAGACGAGTGCAAGCGACCGTCCACGCAAAGATGAGGGACCGTGCAATACTCTTACTTGGACTGCAAAGCCAATGCATGTCACATACTTCAGCTCCAATTATCATCATCCTCATCAAAAAACAGATATTAAAAGCCAATGAGATCAGGCGATCATGAGTCTCTGCCATCCCTTCCTCAACCCCTAAGAATGACACACAATGACGAGCGAACCTCAGGGGAAGGAGACACAGATCCGAAAGTGTCTGGGCTTTTGTCCAGACAGACATGGCCGTGTGGGACTTGAGCCACGGATTTCTCATCTCAAACTGGGAATAACAATCCTCACTATTGTGTGAATATCCGATAATGAAATGTTTAGGAAATATTCTTTCTAAATTAAATAAGGTCCCCGGGTTGTTGGGACATTCAATGGGATGAGGTATCAAAGACCGGGTGCTCATGGACGCCAGTCCCCTCCCCACCCCAGACGTGTCGGCAATACGGATTGGAAAGTTCTGTCCTTGCAGCATACGCACAATCTTTTTGGCTGGCCAAGCTGAGGCCGCTGGAAACACTTGCATTTGAACTGTCCAGGCTGCTGCCAAGATGAAGCTTCCTCATATGCCTCACGACGGCTGTGGCATTGAACGCTTGCTGAAATTTAAGAAAGGGAGAAAACGCACAAAATAGTCGGGCTCATTCGAAAAGACTCAGGTTGTGTCCGGTCGTTTCTCCTGTTACCCCGAGCATTTTGGACATCTTAAAACATTCTCATGATACTTTAGAAAGGAAGCTCATCTTGCCCATTCTTCCAAAATGACACGAAGTCATTGAGCCCCTCCCCCGCCGAGATGTATTTTGGAGATTTAAACAAATACTCTTCTTCTGACATAGCAAACATCTAGAATGAATGTAAACCAATTCTCTCTGTAATTTTAGAGAAGTGACTTTTAGAATCAAAGGCATGTTATAAAAGACAGTATCTGAAATGATACTCTATGATGAGGTTTTAAGGTAGTTTTTATTTCCTGTTGTTGGTGTTCGTGTCCTAACTCATAGCCTTTCCTCTGAATAAAGTAGGTCAGTGGAATTCATTTCGTTTCTGTACAGCCTCTTGGGGCAGAACAGCCAGCTCTTAATTTATGCACACTGATTAGAGCCTGGGGTTTAGGCTTTCCTAAACAGGGTTTCCCTGGGTTTCCCCTCCTGCTTTCGTATCATTTTAATAGAAGTCAACTATTCAAAGTTCCAGTAACGGAAAGGCAGACAACAGGAATTATGGTCTTAAGAAACAGCAACTGAGTAAGAACCAGCACTGTTGCTGGGGAAATATTAAATCGTGTACTTTATCCCTCCCACACCATGACACCCCCTTTGCGTCTTAATCCTCGTCGGTTAAAATTAGCAAGATTTTTCTGGGTGAGGTTCTGGGGATTTTCATCCAACTCAGGTGATAGTAACATTTAGAAATAATAAATGCTCCAACCGCAGGGAAAATTTTGTGGGAGTTGTTCGATTCACCAGGAATTGAATAAAGCATGAGACTTACTCTCCATTTGCTTTTTGCGAAGTTCTTCCGGATCTGGGCACTGACAGACTCATGGATGTTTTTATTGAGGGCCGTGTCACCAGCAATCCTGAAACAGAGGCAAAGATGCTTCTTTAAAAGAGTTTCTTGGGCAGGGGGTGGGGTGGGGGGTACTGTGACACTGGGTCCCACGCTGCTTTCCCAGGAAAGACTCAATGCTGCGCCCGTCCCGAGGTTCCCTGAGAGGGTGGCTCGTCGGCACCCTACCAGGCTGCGTGGCTCTTGTCTGAATCCACCACCATGCTCAAAGTCCTGTCCCCCTTCTAGACCCTGCACCCTCTGGGGGATTCGTGGACCTCTCTGCCTGGTTCCTACTTCTTCTCTTTTGACCTCAGTTCCTGCAACAGCAGAAGACACAAGGCAACCTGAACCCAGTTTCCCCTCCTCCTTCCTCCGTCTCCCTCTTCACCAGCTCTCTACCTGTAGGAGGTCCTGATGTGTTTCCTGCCTGATCTGACCGCCAGATCCCTACCTAGGGCCATCTTCCCAGCTTCTCCCTGCCTGAGGCTCCGTATTTGTGTCCTCTCCAGGCCCGCTGCTCCATGGACCCGCTCACAGCCTGGGCCCAGAACATCCTTCCGGCTCCATTCCAGCAGAATGAGGCTCGGCCACGTTGTCCTCGCCCACACCGGGTACCCCCTCACCTCTGTGCTCAGTGAAAGGGCACCCAGCCTCAGCTCACCCTGCTTGGCAAATCTTCTTCCTTTGCATTTCCCGGAAAAGTTCTCAGAATGGCTAGGACCAAATCCACTCTGCACTCAGCTGGTCATTCGTTGTTGCTTGTTCTATAGCCCTCTATTAGCAGGAAAGAAGGCGGGTCTGCTCTTCACCTCTGTCCTTAGAAACTACTTAGGAATTACCGCCCTCACCCTAGTCCTTCCTCCGTCTGCTTTATCACCTCTCCTTCCCTCCCGTCCTCCTCCCCTTCCCCTGGTCTCCCACCTCCCCCACCTCTCGGCTCACAATCTCCAGTCTCATTGGTAACATGAAGGTCACTCCCTTCTTCTCCCACACATTCCCATCAACCTCAGCACCATCCCTCCACTACAACTAATCACCTGGCCTTCCCCCCAGTTTCAGAGGAAGCTGTGTTTTGCTCTCATTCTTTTCTGCACTTAGAACCTTCCATATCTTCCTTTTCATTTAACAACTATTAAATTCTAGCTTGGTATCCAATACCTATGAAATAAATTTTTTTTTTAAGATTTTATGTATTTATTTGACAGAGAGAGACACAGCGAGAGAGGGAACACAAGCAGGGGGAGTGGGAGACAGAGAAGCAAGCTTCCTGCCGAGCAGGGAGCCCGATGTGGGGCCCGATCCCAGGACCCTGGGATCATGACCTGAGCTGAAGGCAGACGCTTAATTACTGAGCCACCCAGGCGCCCCCCCTATGAAATAAATTTTTGCATCTTGGAGGTTAAGGGGCAGATAAATGCTGGGAACACTGACCATCCTTTCTGGCTGGAAGGTGACTGGATGGTGAGAAAACCTGTCATCTCCCAGACCCACATGGCCCTGGACCCCAAAACAGCCTGGATGCCACACCTTGTGATGTCCAACCGTTTGGGGATATGAAGGTAACAAGCTTAGGCCTTATTCAGACAAGAAATCATCCCCAGGTAAAAAATATGTCCCCACCCACCCAGCCTTTCACTTTTTTTTTTTTTAAGATTTTATTTATTTATTTGAGAGAGAGAATGAGATAGAGAGAGAGAGCATGAGGGGGGAGGGTCAGAGGGAGAAGCAGACTCCCTGCTGAGCAGGGAGCCCGATGCGGGACTCGATCCTGGGACTCCAGGATCATGACCTGAGCCAAAGGCAGTCGCTTAACCAACTGAGCCACCCAGGCGCCCAGCCTTTCACTTTAGAATAGAAAACATGGTGCAGGACTGGACCTTTAGTCTGTGCCAGGCTGGGATGCAGTTTGGAAGGCAGTCCGATATTCTCAGCTAAGAGCAAGCCCTGCCCCTCCCAGTATAGACTCCCATCTTTTTCCCAGCAGGGCTGGAAAGACTTAGCCGAGAGGACGCTCAGAAACGGACTCAAGAGAACCAGGCTTCCATTTCTAACAGCTGCCAGTTGCCCACTTTCCCCAGAAACACACCAGTGAAATAGAATATCTGGCAAATCCATTCAAAACAAGAGGAACAAGGTTAGGGGACTGCGGACATCTTTATTAAGCTTTTCCTTCTAGATAATTCATGTGAGTGTTTTCCTCCTGCACCATTTTTAAAAGCTACATCCTCGGGGTGCCTGGATGGCTCAGTCGTTGGGTGTCTGCCTTTGGCTCAGGTCATGATCTCGGGGTCCTGGGATTGAGCCCCATGTCAGGCTCCCTGCTCAATGGGAAGCCTGCTTCTCCCTCTACCTCTGCTCCTCCCCACCCCACTCGTGTTCTCTCTCTCTCTCAAATAAATAAATAAATTCTTAAAAGGAAATAAAAGCTACGTCCTCAGAGAAGAAGGCCAATTCCAACTCAACGGTGGCCAGCACCTTCTTGGAAACGAGCATGCAGAAATGGTAGGAGTACGGGGTGCCTCAGGCTGAATACCGCCGCAGGGCAGAGCCATGCTCCAAACCAAACAGACCAGTGAGGGGGTCAGAGAGACTCCCTTCTCTGTGGGTTAGCATGGGCTGAGATGGAAGGAAAATGCAAACTTCCAATTATTTCAGGAATGTTCCGTGCTTACTTCCCCCATCCCAGGGCGTGCTGCAGCTGAGTAAGACCCAGCAGGGTAGATGTGGCCCAGAGGCTCCCATGAGGCCCTCTCCTTGGGGAGGTTGGCCCATGACAGCACATAGTCTTCCTCAAATGGGCCCCATCACGGAAATGCCTGCTGCTGATCATGAGCCAGGGAGTTTACAGCGACAACGTACGCCACTCTCCATGCTCAGCATACTGGCTTCAGCATTATTCGTTGACAACACTGGAGGCATGGAATGTTAGGATTGGAAAGGACTCTGATTGTACCTCGATGGTCCTAGGAATTAAACAATGCCTCCGACCCAGGGGAATCTCCTTATAAATCTGTATACATGCACACATATAAAGCTATGGACACCCACATTCCATTCATGTCTCTTCTGCTTTCCAGGTTTTTAAAAATAGTTTATTTTTATTTTTAAGTAACCTCTACACCCAACAGGGGGCTTGAACTTACAACCCTGAGATCAAGAGTTGAATGTTCTACAGACTGACCCAGCCAGGAGCCCCACTTTGCTTTCCAGTTTTAACCCCATGCTAAAAACGCAGATGGCATTCACATAAATCAACCTTTGCGATGTCTGTCTGGCTCTCCATACACAAATCATCAAACTCATCTCTCCCTGCCTTCTGGGGTTTTGTTTTGTACCTAGTCTGCTGTATTTCCACAGCTCTGATTTTGCATTTTTCTAGCCACCTGCTCAAGACAGGCTTGGTGATGCCTGTGTGTACCCCAGAGAGGGGTTTCTCAGACTCCTGGGCTGCTTCCTGATTCCTACAGTCAACCACAGCTTGGCAGGCTGGAGCCCAGAAGAGGGGAGGGGTCTCAGTGAGCACTGAGGAGAGGGCTGTAGGTGCCACCCTGGCCTGGCCGACACACGATGTCCCCCCAGGTGGGTCCACTGCCAAGCGTTGCCTGGGGCATGGATGCCCAGAAATCATCATTTTGGTTTCTGTGTCGACATAACTAGAGACAGAGGTCCAGAACAACCTGAACCAGACAAACCCCGTCAAGGTGCTTCCCTGTAAGGAGGAATGGGCTCCCACCCGGCCAGCAGGCTGGTGCTTCCTTACCATGAACCACCATGAAAAGGCAAAGCCTCACATGGGAGAGGCACAGAAACATCTAGCAAGATGGGCTGACTGACACAGCTTTGAAAGGAGCCCTGTCCTGGCCAAAGTGCCTGTTTTGGGCCGAGGGAAGGTGTCTGTGACTGCCAGGGGCCCTCCTGGCTCCAGGGAGCCTTGATTAAGTTGGAAGAGCAAGTGCAGAATAAGAGATCATGTTCTCTGGACAGAATCGATGTGCCAAGAGCACAGCTTCCAGAACAGTGGTGTGGACAGAGCCAGGCTTCCCTGGAATCATGACTCCACTTTCTGCCAGCTCTCTGTTGAATCTGTGCTCTTTGCCCAGGGAATTTTACATAAAAGAAACAAGGATATCAGAAATGCAGGCAGCAGGGGGCATTTCCCTGATGTTTGAGTCAAATTGCATTCATTTTTACCATTTCCTAATGGCTGACTTCCTGGGTCTTGGGAAACTCACGGTAGAAATGATACAGCGTCCGAAGTAAAGGAGAAGCTCTGAAGTAAAGAGGCATCAATTTGCTCAGGAGCTCACATGCTACTGCATCCTGAGTCTGGAGCCCAGGAAAGAGGTTGGCAACGCTGGAGACAGAGACTTCAGGGTCCATTGGCCTGGGTCCACTCAGGATGCAGTAGCATGTGAGTTGTTCCAGAGGCCAGCCGTCTAGGTCCTGAGTGGACCCAGGCCAATGACCCTGAAGTCTCTGTCTCCAGCCCAACCTCTTTCCTGGGCTCCAGACTCAGCAAAGTCTCCCCCCCGGCCCCGCTCCACACACAAGCTGCTACTCTTCTCAGTGGAGGCATCTCACCGGCCCAGTCCCTTCAACTGGAACCCTGGCAATAACCTCTGGGACCCCTGCCCCGAGGCTCCCCGCCCCTGGCATGTCCCTCGCACTCTCTGTCTGCTGCATCCCTGTGGCTCCAGACAGGCCCCCTCCCCCCTTCTCTGGGCCAGCCTCCACTCCACCTCCAGCCTGCACCTCCCTGCTGGCCTCCCTTGGCCCAGCGCCAGGGATTCATCCCCATCCTGCAGCCTGTTGAGCTGAGATGCAAATCTGATCACCTGCTTGAAACCTGTCAGGGGCCCCCACTGCCCAAAGGGAAAAGTACAAATTGCTTTGTGTGATGATAAATTAATGGCAACTCATACAGATGGGAGATATATTAGGTACCAGGTCCTCTTCTTCTTATCTGTATGTCATGTCTCGTTCAATCCCTGGAAAAGCCCTAGAGGATAAATACTGCCATTATTCATGATCTCAGTTTGACACGGGGGGCCCCCAGGGCTGGGGAGGTCGCCCAAGCAGTAACAGAGGGTGAAGTGGGGACCGGGACTCAGAGCTTGCACTACCCTGGCGGAGACCCCGGAGCTCGCGCCAGAACGCCGATGGCCGTGCCTTCCTTTCTGGTTCCCTCCTGCCTTGCTTCTTTGTCCATTGCCCCTCCAGCAATATGGAGTATGTGGTTCCAGGACAGAGATGCGGTTAGGTCCTGATGATGGGCCAGGCCGCTCACCCCACCTGGAAATCCTCTCCTCCCTCGACAGCCTGGTGAAGGCCTCATGGCATGAGGCTTGGCCCCTCTGGGAAGTCCTCTGCCAGGCCCCTCAGTGAAATGACCTCCCCCTTCTTTGGTTTTTCAAAAAAATGTCTGGTGAAGCAGGGACTAGGTTTCAGCTGGCCTCCTTCCTATCTTCCACAGAGCAAGGCTGGATAAGAGAACACATCGGAGGAAAACTGCTTCCCTTCCTTAGACATCACTTTCCTCCTCCATCAGATCATCCCCAAAGTCTCATACCTTTAGTCCTCATACAAGATAAATATGTGCTGCAATGTAACAGGATGGCTATGGTCAACCCTGCTCTAGCGTATATTTCAAAGTTGCAGAAGAGTAAATCCTAAAAGGTCTCATCCCAAGGAAACAATTGTTTCTGGTACCTACATAACAGGGTGGATGTTAATTACACTTCCTGCGGGAATCATTTTGCAATATATGCAGATTTTTTTGCATATTTTTGCAAAATATGAAGTCATGATGCTCTACACCATAAATTTATATACCGTGTACGTCAACCAGACCTCAACAAAACTGGAAGAAGACAAAGTCTCCTACAGCTTTGAAGGCCAGTGTTGGTATTGTTGGTGAAGTAAGAGAAGGTTTACTAACTTTATTGTCACATACTTTGACCTATTGTCCAATGTAACTTGTTACAAAATAAAATATCATTTATTTTAAACTTCTTAAAAATAGATATGACCGAATCGGCCTCCTTATTCAGAAGCATCTTTCCCTCCCCTTCTGCCATTCCTATCTTCCTTTTCCTTTCCTGACAGGGTGGTGTTGAAGAGCATTTATTTTGGAATCAGTTCTGGCCAGAAACAAGGGTGGCTTTACCATCAGGTAGTGGTTGCACAGTCTTGGATCAGGCTAAGTTACTTTATCTTTCTACATCGATTTTCTTATTTCTTTTTAAAAATTTTTTTTTAAAGATTTTATTTATTCATTTGAGAGAGAGAATGGGAGAGAGAGCACGAGAGGGGGGAGGGTCAGAGGGAGAAGCAGACTCCCCGCCGAGCAGGGAGCCCGATGCGGGACTCAATCCTGGGACTCCAGGATCATGACCTGAGCCGAAGGCAGTCGCTTAACCAACTGAGCCACCCAGGCGCCTGATTTTCTTATTTCTGACATGGAGACAAAACCTACCTTACAGGGTTATTATGAAGAAAAACATGAGATGATATTTTAACGCAATTAGAACTGCACCCGAAATAATTGATGCTCAGTGAGTGACAACTGTGGTCATAGATTAAAATATAGAGCTTCCTTGACTCACGATGGAGTTACGTCCCAATAAACCCATTGTAAGTGGAAACTATCATATGTCGAAAATGCATTTAATATACCAAACCTGCCAAACATAGCTTAGCCTTGTCTACCCTAACCATGTTCAGAACACTCACGGTAGCCTACAGTTGGGCAACATCATCTAACACAAAGCTCCTTGTGTGATCAAGTGTTGAGTAGCTCATGGAATTTCCTGAATACTGCACTGAAGGTGAAGAACAGAATGGCTGTACGGGGACAGAATGGGTGTCAGCGTATCGGTTGGAGACCGTCGTGGTCGCGTGGCTGACGGGAACCATGGCTGCCAGCGCCCGGCATCACGAGACAAGATTGTCACTGATGCAGCTAGCTCAAGAAAAGATTGCAATTCAAAACCGGAAGTACAGTCGCTACTGAATGGGTACCACTTTGGCACTATCGTAAAGTCAAAAAACATCATGAAGTTGGGAACCGTCTGTCCAATGAAACCAGCTCACGATGCTCCTCGGAGCAGGTGCCCTTTGGAGGACTAACTAGCATATGATGCTCGGGAGGAAACGCTATAGACAGTGGTGAAACAAACAAGGGGTAGTTTCCTAGAGCGCTTTTTAGGGGAATTTCTCCTGAAGCCAAAGGCTGTTTGTTGCCATCATACTGCATATTCTACCATTCCTGCTCTTTGTTTCCAAATGGATGTTCCTGGTGGTTTAATGAGAACAGCCTAACGAAGAATTTACTATGTCCCAGACATTGAGCTAAGCCCTTTGCAGGCATGATCTCAATGATTTCTTACATCAACTCTGTAAACAAGGTATTCTTGTTCTCATTTTAAAGATAAGAAAACTGGGGGGGCCTGGGTGGCTCAGTCGGTTAAGTGTCTGACTTGGTTTCAGCTCAGGTTATGATCTCAGGGTCGTGAGACTGAGCCCCACATCGGGCACCGTGCTCAGTGTGGAGTCTGCTAAAGACTCTTTCTCTGCCCCTCCCATCCACACACTCTCTCTCTCTAAAATAAACAAATAAATCTTTTAAAGAAATTAAAAAAAAATAATAAAGATAAGAAAATTGAGGCTCAGAGAAGTTACGTACAAGCCCAGAATAACGGCTAATTGATAGTGAAGCTGGGTTCAAACCTAGTAAGTGGTGCAAAAACAAGATGGCATCATGGGCACTGCTGAAAGCCTAGTATAGAATATCACAAGCCATTGATGAATGCCTCTGGGGTTGAAGACACATTAACTTGAAAGGCATTTCCTTTTTCTTTTCTTTTCTTTTTTTTTTTTTTTAAGTAGGCTCCACACCCACCTAGAACCCAACACGGGGCTTGAACTCACGACCCTGAGATCATGACCTGAGCCGAGATTAAGAGTCAGCTGCTTAACTGCCTGAGCCCCCCAGGTGCCCCAAAAAACATTTTAAAAGTAAAAGAATATATAACATCAATTCACTTACTTATTGAACGGTAAGCTCAAGGAATAAAACTCCAATCCTAATGCCTCCCTGGAGAACTACCTTCAATAAAAATGATCCTAAAATACTTCCTGTAGAATGAAAAGCCTACAGCTATCTTTTGCACAGTGTACTCGTCATCCGTGCATTCAGGAGGCTGTGTCCCGAGGGAACAGAAGAGTTCAAGTGTTGCCCTGGGGATGGGATGAAAGCCAGTGGTCGGAAGGAGAGGCAGTCACTCCACAGTTAGGAACGGCTGAGAGGGGGTTTAGCCTGGGAAGGCATCAGCGTGTCCTTCCTCGTGGGTGACTTTTCTTACCATGGGTGCCGAGCTGCTTGCTCACAAGTGTATCTTTTATTTGGATCTTTCTCCATCAGATTCCGGATGAAGTCTTTTGCTGTTTAGAAAGAAAGCACAAGGGGCAGAATCAGGGTGCGGCTGCAGATGTAACAACTTGCTGCCGCAGGGTCTTTGGGAATATGGCGTGAAGCATGAAAAACAGCCCAGTCCCGCCCCTGACCCTATGGTACGTTGAACACAAAAGGCAGGCGGGAACTGACATTTTGGGAGAAAGAGAAGTCAAGACTTGCACTGTCAGAGGGGACAGTGAATGAGGAGGCAGTCACACCAGGCCTGGGACCCTGCCTGCGCAACTCAAAGCCCTTCCCTTGGGCAGCTAGTGACATCTTTGGTTCAGAGATCAAAGATCTTTGTCATCATGTGCCTCCCGCTGGGCTCACTGCTGCCTGAGGACGCTGCTTTGTTGATGTCCTCTCTGTGTTTTAGACATCACTGATTCAACAAAATCCCTTCAGCCTCTGCTAAGGCCACCAGGACCTGAGGCTCTGTGGAGACAGAGCCCTCGAGAAGCCCCTCACAGCCCACTCAGCTGCCTGCAATGAACAGGACATCGAGATGTAACAAGATATGCCCCGGCGGGGAAGTGCGAAGCGCTAGGAGGCCCAGTCGGGTTAGGACCCAGAAGCGGGACCCTGAGAACATGAGGGACTGGGTCACAGAACCAGAGGATGACACCTGTATGCCAGGCCAGAGACCCGTGGCATCGCAGGGCCTGGCAGCTCTCTGCCCACAAGACTGGGTTTCTGGGGGCAAGGCTGTGCCCTCCTGAGCTCAGAAATAAAATATTCCCCATGTAGCTTTTCCCTGCAAGCCTTGGAGAACTGTACTCAGGTCCCAGGTTCTGGAAGGCTGAGGAACAAAGCAGGTGCCTCCAGTGAGGAGGAAATAACACATATTAAAAGGCGATATTTGAACAGCTCACCAGGACGAGCAGGGCTCTGCCCCATTTATTATTTTATTTGATCCTTGTACCACCCTCTGTGGTAGGGAGGACTATTGTTACCATCTTGACCTTGAGGCTCAAGAGACTTGTCAGTCTACCTGAGCCTTGGTTTTGATCTTTATCCCTGAGGAGGAAACAGTAAATGTCTCTGGGACAGTGTGGCACAGTAGCTGAGACGTGGGCTCTGGAGTGAGGGTCTGGGTTCAAATCCCAGCTCGGCCACTTACTAGCTGTATGGCTTGCATCAAGGCATATCACCTTCTGGGGCCTCAGTTTGCTTACCTGTCAAGTGGGGATACTAGTAACACCCATCTGATAGGTTGTCCTGAGGACTGAGTGAGTTAACACGTGTGCAGACCTTTTGGTGCTCGGCACACAGTAAACACTCAATAAATGTTAGCTAATATTGCTTCAGTCCTGGAGTGCTCAGACCAGGGCATGGCTTAGAATGATGGAGGAGTTGGTCCCGTCCCTCAGCGTGGCTCCGGTCAGATGTCCCAAGCCTGCCTTCTGCTTTGCAAGTCAAGTCCAAGTATGTAGGCTCATGGAGCTTCCTTGGGAGCCTCAGGACCACTCTGAAACCCCCGGGGTCCATCAGGGTCAAGTGGTCTGGGTGTAAGGGTCCCACCCCTGGGGAGCTAAGAGACCTACCAGAGTCGGAGATGTCATCCCAGTAGGGGGAGTCGAACTCATATTCTGCCTTGAGGATCTGTTCAAAGAGCTTGGAATCATTTTCATCATAAAAAGGAGGGTAGCCACAGAGCCTGGAAGACAAGACAGTGTAAGGATCTGTAACAGCTGTATATCCGCTGTGGTCACTGGACATTCTGCCTGGAAGGAAGAACCGTCACTCAAGGGGAGAAAACTGCACTGTGTGTGTTGGAAATACAACCTGAGCAAAGAAATCACACCTTCTAGGGGCAGAGGTGGCACAGAAATAAAGCTGTGATTTGATAAATTGCAAAAAGGTGGTGATCTAAAGTAAACACATACGTAAGTCCACCTTTCTTTCCATGTTATTAACCAGAGCCCCATATACTCCCAAACCAACACCTACACCTTCTGTGTGTAAAAGCTATTGAGGGATCTAGTACATGCTTGAGCCCACGTGAGGCAGGGCATCCAGGAAGGGGTGGCAGTTAGGCTGTAGCTCTAAGGGATGGGCAGAGCAGAGGCAAGGTCGGATTTTCCAGAAGGCCGGGCGCAAAGCTGCATCGTGTAGAACCTGGTTCTGGGCCCACGGCAGCCCAGAGGGTGGCCCCCGCGGTGGCAGCTCTGAATTTCCCCAGATCGCCAAACTTTGTTCAAAACACATCTCCAGCCTAGAGACCTGTGGAATGAGAACATATGAACGGGAATCCATAGGCCTATAAGGGATGAGGCTGTCGGCAAATAAGAAACCGAAGAAAGGTTCAAAATGCAGACTTGGTACACTCGTTCTTCAGCTACTCCTGCTGTGACACAGAGTATCACTTGTCACGCTGCCCAGGGGGGAGGCTGATGACATTTTTAAAGGCTGTGAGACATTGCGCGGGCCGATAAGATTCAAAATCATCTATCCCCACAAGGTTGATTTAGGGGCTAAGTGCCTGGAAAATTTCATTTTTTAAAGATTTGCTGCTTTTGGTAAAATGAATACGAGCCAGTGCTTCTGAAACCACTGAGGGCGTATTTTACTGCCCAGGAAACCGTGGAGCCGGGAGATGGATATGTAAATGCTTCCCATAATGAGGATTTGGGCTCAATGAAATGTGCATATTAGGAAAAGCAGACAGAGCAAAATGTTAGTTCATCTTGGAAAATAACTAAATTTTAGATATGTGAGGTTTTTGTTTATTAACAACTGTGTTTTACTTTACAGTTTGGCTTTCTTCTCAAGGGAAAAAAAATCTTTAAGAAAATTCCAAGAAAGATGTATTCTTCTTGTGCCAATTTTCTTAATGTATATTCCAATTTCTTCTGGTTTTTAAGCTCTCTTGGAGGGGAGAGGATACTGTTTATGTGGCTGTATGGAGGACGGGAGAAAAGGATGTGGATCTAGCCTGGAGATTAAGTTAACCTTAGGAAAGAGGATTTTAAAATAAGGATTGGAAAAGAAGAGAAGGACAGATAGAAGTTGCAGAATCTTCCCCAGATCTAGAAATTTCACAGAGCTCCCTGGCCAGGCTATTCCATTAGTAGGCTTGTGCAGAGGGTCCAAATAGGAAAAAAAAAACAACTTTGAGCTATTTATCTCCATATACAGAATGTGGAATTTTGTGGTCTGGACCTATTTGCAAGTGGAACCTCTATGTTCTTATTTTACATATCAAACCATTTAAATAATGTACAAATTATCTCACCAGGTGTACTCAAAGACAATAAAGCTATTTCCAACTGTTCTAAACTTAAAGTCTGTGGTTCAGAATAACATAACTTGCCAATCCAATGACTGAGGGTCACACCCAATTGTAGGCAACACACGTCCCCGGGGCTCAAGGATTGCCTCCAGCCCAGCCTCAGGATGGTCATCCAAGGAGTATCCTTACACCTTCAGTCTTTCCCACTTTGCCATCTTATCTACCTGTGGCCCCCTCCCGTAGATGTACTGCTAGATTCTAGTTTAGCCTTGACTGAGCACTTGTTTTGGGTCAAAAATGCCACTAAGAGCTTTGTGGTATTATCTCACTCAAACTTCACTCCCTGCAGGAGGTGAGCGTCCCCAACACCTTCTGTTCGTCCTTTAAAGCCATTTTCCACTCGCTCTGTGCCCTGGGAGGCTGACCTGTAGAGATACCAAAATGAGGAGTGAACTCCGTGACATCTGGTAGAGGTTGGTTAATGGGGTCCCCGGTGGAGATGGTGAAGGAAGAGGGAGTTCAGGGCCAGGGTATGTGCTGACCTGACCCCTCTCGTCTAGCACGCACCCTTTGACTGAAGACCACTGCTCCTCTCAGGGAGCAGAGCCTACCAGGCACTCCTCCTCGGATTCTGGTAACTGCTCCCAGCCTCCCTTCACCACCTTGGGTTTAGGGATGTTTACAGCTCAGTTGCTACAAAGCTCGGGGTCACAGTCCCTTCTACAATTCTCACTTTGAAGGCAAAGAAACTAATATGGAGCAAAGTCAGGACTCGAGGCCTATCCATCTGATTCCAGGTTTGTGTTCTTAACTATTTTGCTGATTCACTCAAGGGAAGGAGGCATGAGAATTGAACCTTAGGTTTCAGTCTTGACTTTGAATGCTCTCTGTAGGTCATTTGCCCACCTGCCCCTTCATCTGTAAGTAGAACCCGGTGATTGGACCCTACCTTTCCAACCCCATTTCCCATACTCGGGGTCTTGTATGCTAAGATGCTCAGAGTTCGCTCCCTACTGGGCACTTTTTATTTCTGGACCAAGGTAAATGTATGTACTTGACCTGGGCTGTCCTTCCCCTGTCACTTGCCTCTGGCACACCCTTGAAGACCAGCTGGGGTGTTACTAGGAAGACCCAGCTCCTTTCCGCCAGGTGGGGTGGCACTCCCCGCTGACACTTACTACACTGCAAGTTGCCCTGAGCTGTCCTCGAGCTCCCTAAGGCAGGACCACATCTCAGGTCTTACTCTCATCTTTGAACTCTCAGTGGCCAGCCCCGAGGTCCGCCCATAGCAGATGCTGAGTAAATGCTTGGATGAACAAACATGCTCTTGAAGAGGCTTCATCGTTGGCTGTTGAGCCCCCTGGCTGGGCTCTGAGACAGAGATAAGGATCTACAGTTTAGGAGAGTCCACCACTACCCCAGCTTAGGGAGCCCTCAGAGATCCCGCCTACCCTCCTGTACAATAACCCTATCAGGAGGCAATATTCTGTTATTGTTGACAGACATTCCAGAAGAACTCAATGTGTAAGGCCCGGTGTTGGGAGCAACCCGGCCTATCTTTGTAGAGAGAATGCAATGTGGTTTGGATGACCTAAAATGTCCCTGTTGGGCATGGACACATCTCATAAAGAAGAGTTTCCACGAAGGAGAAGCCTTTTCACATAAATGAATATGAAAATCGGCAATGGCCAACCACGGCTGATTCGGCAGTGCACAGTTTTTCTTGGAAACTGAAATGCTGTAATAGCTTAAGAGCTCCTGCTGAGAAGCCCCGCGAGTTTACTGGGGTAATTATGCTACATATGTTCCTCTTGCTTGTTTGCCCTTGGCCCCGTGTCTCTGTCCCTCTGAAAATGGATGCCTGCTAACAGGATTCCCAAGTAACAATCAGTCGTTACCTCTTTACCCTTTTATGTAACTTTATTTCCATAATTCAGCTCAACTCATTGGGGCAAAACAGTATGGAGGTGCCTCAAAAAATTAAAAATAGGACAACCATATTATCCAGTAATATCTCTTCTGGATATATTCCCAAGGGAAATGAAATCAGTACCTTGAAGAGAGATATGCATTCCCATGTTCACTGCAACATTATTCACAATAGTCAAGACATGGAAACAACCCAAGTGTTCATTGACAAATAATGGATAAAGAAATTATGGCAAATGGGGCCCCTAGGTACCTCATTCGGTTAAGGGTCTGACTCTTGAGATTCTCTCTGTCCCTCTCCCTCTGTCCCTTCCCCTACTCTCTCTCAAATAAATAAATGAATCTTAAAAAAAAAAAATGATGGTATGTATAGAAAATGGAATTTAGTCAGCCATAAAAGGAAGGTGATCCTGCCATTTGCAACAACATGGATGAAACCAGAGGGTTTAGTGAAATAAGCCAGGCACAGAAAGAAAAAAAAGTCAAATACATAGAAGCATAGAACAGTGGTTACCAGGGGTGGGGAGGTGGTGAGGGAAATGGGGAGATGGTGGTCAAAGGTCAAAGTCACATATATGTAGGGCAAATAAGTCTAGAGATCTTAAGGTACGGTGTGAGAACTATAGTTAATAATACTGTACTGAATACTGCACATTGGTTAAGACAGTAGACTTCAGGTGCTTTCATCACAAAATAGTAACAATGTCAGAATATATGTTAATTAGCTTAACTATAGTAATCATTTCACTACGTATATTAAATCATCACATTATAACCTTAAATATATACAGCTTTTATTGAAAAAAAGTCATGGTAGAGAAAGTACTAGCCGTGTTTAACATTAGGCAGTGACTTTTTAAAAAAGTGTTATTATGGGGGCACCTGGGTGGCTTAGTTGGTTAAGCATCTGACTTCGGCTCAGGTCATGATCTCGGTGTTCTGGGATTGAGCCCGCTTCTGGCTCTGTGCTCAGCAGGGAGTCTGCTTGTCCCTCTCCCTCTGCCCTTCCCCACGGCTCATGCTCGCTTTCTCTCTCAAATAAATAAATAAAATCTTTTAAAAAATGTTATTATGGTAAAAAAAAAAACAATATGAGATCTACCATTTTAATAAATTTTAAGTGTCTAGTACAGTACTGTTGACTCCAAGCACAATGTCTTCCAGCAGATCTCTAGAGCTTATTCATTTTTCATAACTGAAATGTTATGCCTGTTGCTTCCCCATTTCCCCCTCTCCAGCCCCTGTCAACCACCATTCCAGTCTGATTCTATGAATTTGGCTATTTTAGATACTTCATATGAGTAGAATCATGCAGTATTGGTCTTCCTGTGACTGACTTACTTCACTTAGTGTAATGTCCTAAAGGTTACCAATATTCCACTGTATGCATAGACCATGTTTTCTTTATCCATTCATCTATTGATGGACATTTACATTGTCACCATGTCTTCACTCTTGTGAATAATGCTGCAACGAACATGGGTGTGCTAATACCT